CCACACCAGGACTCCTAGAAACATTTATTTCAGAACCACTGGAATATGCCTGCTTTTATTTTGGAGTTGTGTGTTTGTGGCTTTTTGTTGTTGGTGGTGTTGTGGTGGATTTGTTTTCTTGTATATTTTTTATTTCTTTTAAAAGTAATCAAAATTGTTAGATCTACTCGTGAAGACTCTGAAATCTTTCAGACTTCTGGGGGTTGTCGGTTACAAAGAATGCTAGTTACATGCCAATGAACTATTTTTACTCTTTTTATATAAAGTGTACAAACTTCTGGGGGTGAAGTGTGGCATTGGTTCTTCTTAGTGCCTTGTCTAATACACTTGCACATTCTCATCAACATTGTCATCATCTGTTTAATACTCCCAGTAGATTTTCTCAAAGTCTGTTTTTTTTCAAAATTGGGTGGAATGAAAAACTTAATAAGCAATAAAGCCAGAGTTGCACACACACACACACAAGCACACACACACAGAATCAATGGTGTTGAAGGAAGAAGTCCAAACTGAAGGCACTGGCGATAAACAAGTCTCCTGGAGTTGATGGCATACAAATTGAAGTGTTTCAAGAAACTGATGCAGCGCTGGAGGTACTCACACATCTATGCTAAGAAATTTGGAAGGCAGTGATATGGCCAACCAATTGTAAGAGATCCACATTGGTGCCCATTCTAAAGAACAGTGACACAATGGAATGTGAAGATCATTGAACAATATCCTTATTATCACCTGCATGTAAAATTTCACTGAAGATAATTCAGAAACAGTTGTAGCAATACATTGACAAAGAGCTGCTAGAAATCCAAGCCAGACTCAGAAGAGTACATGGAACTAGAGATATCATTGCTGACACCAGATGGATCTTGGCTGATTGAGGAAGGTATCAGAAAGATATTTACTTGTGCTTTACTGACAATGCAAAGGCATTTGACTTGTGTGGATCATAACAAACAATGGATAACATTGCGAAGAATGAGTATTCCAGAATACTTAATTGTGCACATTGTTTGCACACAACAAGGGGACACTGAATGGTTTAAAATCAGGAAAGGTGTGTGTCAGACCTATATACTATATACAACATACTTATTCAATCAATATGCTGAGGAAATAAGAAACTGGATCATATGAAGAAAAACGTGACATCAGGATTGGAGGAAGACTCATTAACAACCTGCAATATGCAGATGATACAACCTTGCTTGCTGAAAGTGAAGAGGACTTAAAACATTTACTGATAAAGATCAAAGAACACAGCCTTTGGTATGGATTATAGCTCAATGTCAAGAAAACAAAAATCCTCACCAGTGGACCAATAAACAACATTCTTATCAATGGAGAAAAGATTGAAGTTGTCAAGGACTTCATTCTGCTTGGATCAACTATCAACACTCGCGGAAGCAGCAGTCAAGAGATCAGACGACGTATTGCATTGGGCAAATCTGCTGCACAGGAACTTTTTAAAGTATTGAAGAGCAGAGATGTCAGCTTGAGGACTAAGGTGCGCCTGACCCAGGCCATGGTGTTTTCAATAGCCTCATATGGATGCGAAAGCTGGACAGTGAATAAGTAAGACTATAGAAGAATTGATGCTTTTGAATTATGATGTTGGAGGAGAATATTGAAAGTACCATGGATTGCCAAAAGAACAAACAGATCTGTGTTGGGGGAAGTACAGCCAGAGTGCTCCTTGGAGGCCAAGGTGGCCAAACTTTGTCTCTAATACTTTGGACATATTGTCAGGAGGGACCAGTCACTGGAGAAGGATATCATGATTGGTAAGGTGGAGGGTCAGAGAAAAAGAGGAAGACCCAAGCGAGATGGATTGGCCAGGTGGCAGCATCGATGGCTCAAGCGTGGCAATGAGAGTGAGGTTGGCCCAGGATTGGGCAGTGTTTTGTTCTGCTGTGCATAAGGTCACTATGAGTCGGTACAGCAATGTGGGTAAAATATTGAATGATGCAGGGAGCATCTAAAGAAGCTGAGAGGTTTACAAAAAATCACTGTAAAAAAAAAAAAATAAAAAAAGGTCAGAGGTCAATGTTCAACCATTTCAAGAAGTCGCATATGATTAAGAATAAATGATACTAAAAGAAAAAGTCCAAGATGCATTGAAAGCATCAGAGGAAAACAAGGCTCCAGGAATTAGGGGAATACCAATTAAGATATTCCAATAAACGGATCCAATGTTGTAAGTACTTACAACTCTGTATCAAGAAATTTGGAAACCAGTTACCTGGCCTACCAACTAGGAGAGATTCAGCTTATGACCATTTCAAAGAAAGGTTAACTCTACTGAAGGTGGACATTATTGAGAAATGCCGTATGTAAGTAAAATTTTACTGAAGATAATTCAAAAATGGTTGCAGCAGTACATTGACAGGGAGCTGCCAAAAATTCAAGCCAGATTTAGAAGAGGGCACAGAAGGAAAGATACCACTGCTGATGCCACATGGATCTTGGTGAAGAGTAGAGAATATCAGAAAAATGGTTACTTTTTTTCTTTTTGTTTTTTGAGTAGGTAAAGCCGTTGGACTTTGTGGAGCACAACAAATTAAGGATAGCATTGCAAAAGAATGGGAATTCCAGAACACATAATTGTGCTCCTGAAGAACCTCCACAAAGATAGGAAGGTTGTTTGAATAATGGAAAACTGTTTCGCTTAAAATGAGGTGTGCATTGGGGTTGTAGCCTTTCACCATATTTACTTAATCTATATGCTGAACAAATAATCCAAGAAGCTGGACTATATGAAGAAGGAAGCGGTACCAGGATAAGAAGAAACTCAGTAACAGAGATTTACAGAGGACACAACTTTGCTAAAAACAAAGAGCCGCCCAGTATTTACAGAGGAAGATGAAAAACTACAGCTTTCTTTATGGATTACATCTCCATGCAAAGAAAACCAATCCCTGCACTACTGGACATACAGGCAGCATTATGATACAAGGTGAAAAGACTGAAGATGTCAAAGATTTTATTTTACCCGAATCCAGACCTATAGAAGTGGCAACCAAGAAATCAAACAAGTACATTTGGGCGTACCTGCTCCAAAAGACCTCTTCCAGGTATTAAAGAGAGAAGATGTCACTTTGAGAATGAGAAGGTGCGCCTGACCTAAGCCATAGTTATGTTCACCTCATGTGCATGTGAAAGCTGGGCAATGAATAAGGAAGATTGGAGAGGAATTGATGCAATTGAGTTACGGTGTTGGTGAAGAACACTGAATACGCCATGGACTACCAGAAGGAAGAACGAATTTGCCTTGGAAGAAGTATTGTCAGAATGCTCCTTAGAAGCAAGTATGCTGAGACTTTGTCTCACTGGCTTTAGACAAATCATCAGAATGGATCAGTCCCTGGAGAGAGTCACTGTTCTTGGTACGGTAGAGGGTCGGGGTGAAAGAGGATGACCCTCAATGGGATGGACTGACGCAGTGGCTTCAGCCATGGTTCAAAGAGAACAATAATTGTGAAGATACTGCAGGACGGGCCAGTGTTCTGTGGACACAGGGGTCTATGAGTCAAAACGGACTCCATGGCACCTAACAGAAACAATAAGAATGCTTCCTAGAAAGCAGAAAAATGTGCAGTTCTCACCTTTTGGCAAAATGGAATCAATGTAATTTCCTATTCTGATAGGCAGTGGTGATGACAGGAAACTGTGAATTTAAACAGATGGACTATTTGCATTGATACAATAACTATCCATAGTTCCTTACCATGTGTACCAGTTACCACGCAGTAGGCTCTGACTCATGACACCCCATGTGTGTCAGAGTAAAACTGTGCTCCATAAAGTTTTCAATGGCTGGTGTTCGGAAGTACATCACCAGGCCTTTCTTCTGAGGTACCTCTGAGTGGGCTTAAAGCTCCAACCTTTCAGTTGGCAGCCACCCAGGGATGCCCAAATATTACTGTAGGCTGTGAACTGGCTAATTTTGCTGGATGCTATTTGACACTGGAGTCCTAGTGTGGTGCTGTAGGATAAAGCACTGTATCAAAAGATTGGTTTGAAACACAAGGTCAGCAGTTCAACTTCACCAGTTGCTCCTTGGAAACCCTACACAGGAACACTATGAGTCGGAACTGACTCAACAGCACTTAACAACAACATCTGACATTAGGCAGATTTGTGTGGCCTTGTCTGACCATCTCTTTCCTCTCTGTTGGTGTCCTTGTTGCACCCTCTACTCTGTCCCTTGTCCCCTCCCATCCTTTTGCTCTCTGTTCCTGGTGTCAGAGACTGTGTATTTTACATCCCTAACACTGAGCACAATGCTAAGATGATCACTGTTGTTGTTAAGTGTCTTCAAGTCAGTTCTGACTCAGGGACCCTGGATAGCACCACAATGATAATAAATACTTCTCTGGTAGCGTAGTGGTTACGAATCAGGCTGCTAATCTCACAGTCAGCAGGTCAAAACGACCAGCTACTCTGCGGGAGAAAGATGAAGCTTTCTGCTCCTGTAAAGATTTACAGCCTCGGAAACCCTATACAGGGTCGCTATGAGTCAGAACGGACTCCACAGCACATCACAACAACAATAATTTAAAAATCAGTTTTGGAGTTGATTGTTATTGTTGTGTGCTGCTGTAGATACAGTCAGATCCAGCTCATAGGGACCCCATGTAGGGTCCCCAAGAGCAAACAGTGGGTTTGAACTGTCAACCTTGCAGTTAGCAATCCAGTGCTTATCCTACAGTGCTAGGGCCCTATTTGATGAAGATTTAATACTGACTTTATAAAGGATTCATTCCTTTAATCCACACATTTATGAATTCTTATAACAGAAAATGATACATGAGTAAAGAACTTTGAAATAATTGAAACCAATCACTGCTTTTTAAGGATCAAATAAGACACAGGTCTATAATAATTTAGTTAACAGTCAGATGCTATATAAATATAAGGCAGCATTTTTTTGAGTGACATCATAGGTGTGTTGCCAAATGAAATATACAGACTCACATTGTCTGGTAAACAAGCACACTTACAATCTCTCCATCTTTGCCTCCAAAATCTAAATACAACATCCTGATCCCATCATCTGAAGACAGCTTGAGCTTTTCATAAGGAGACTGTAAGATGGTTTTGGTAAAGGCACCCTCCTGGCATTCCGTGGTAATAGAAAATCCATTCTCGTAGTGTATGGTCAAACAGCACTCCTGGTTTTTATAGGTGCATGCTGGAGGAGAGACAAGAGAGACAAGTATGACTATAACATCAACCCATTTTCCCAGGCAGTGAACAGTTCACGTACCCTCAGTCCCAAGGGTCAGCTACAAACTTCTCACTACAGTTAAAAAATAGTAATTGCTCATGAGAATAGTCTCTTTGAGTTTATTTTGATGCTGTAACTTCCCCACAGAACTAAGGAAATAAACTGAAATAATTCCTTTGCAAATTCCTTGTGCTGAGATCTCCTGAACTATGTTTGGGGATCTAACCTTATCCAACCATTTGACAATGAATAGGTCTATGTTGTTGTTGTTCAGTGCCACGGAGTCAGTTCTGACTCATAGCGACCCTGTACAGGGGTATCGGTGTGCTTGTTTTCCAGTTGTCAAATGGACTTCGCTTCAAGCCAGAAAATAAAAAGATGAAACAGAAAAGATTTACAAAACACCAACTTGGAATCATCATCATCACAATCGCTAAACTGTTTTGGGGGAGAAAGAAGCACAAATTCAAACATATTTTACAGAGACCCCTTCATTAAATCTTAAAGAGGACAGAGATAAATCATCTAGATGGATGAGGGAAGACCATCAGCATGGAGCTAATTACAGAGCACAGAGTACAGAAGAAATTTGTCACAAAATCATGATTGGTGGCAGAGCAACTCATCAGAGTCACAGGCAGGGTTACGGAAGTGGGAAAGAGATTGTGATTGGGGTACGGATACTGCTGTAGTTTAGAAAAGTTCACGGGATTGATTCTGGAGGAAGTATTACTCATGACCTTCTGGCTCTGGTACCCCAATTTCCATAAAGGACACACCTAGACAAATCCCTCCCTGGGATGGCTAGGGGTGTCCTCCTAACCCACCTGCAAACAGACTCTGCCTTGAGGCAAAGCTTTTTACAATGTCAGTTACAGGCAGGAAATAACTCACTGGAGCCTGAGTTTATGTTAAGATGCAAAATGGATTTAGATCTCCATTGCAAACCAAGTGTGCAGAATTTAAGCTCTAACACAACACACACACACTCAATGTCATGTCAGTGTTCTGACTCAGAGTGACCCACAGAGTGGAGTACAAGAGCTCCCTAGGGTTTCTGAGGCTGTAGATCCTTTTGGGAGAAGATAACCTCGCCTTCCTCCAGTGGAGTGACTGGTGAGTTTGAACCTCTCTGATGCTGAGGTTACAGCCCAACAAGTAACACACAGCAGGGCCAGGCCTTCCTTACTCAGTGCTGCTACTTTGTAAAGATGTGCTCTCTGATGGGTCCTCGGGACAGAGCTCGCTGGTAAATTGTAGGCTATTTTCTCAGAAGGACTCAAGTCCTCTGTCCGAGGATGACCAAAGACAGAAACACACAGGTAGCTACACCTCTTATGTAGGCTTTTCTTTGACTCACTGTACTTCTACCAAATGCAGAGTATTTGGGTGAATGGACTCTAAAGCTTGACCTTTAGTTTTTTCCTCTGTGCTTGGACTTTAATGCGATGTCACCAGATAATCAACTGATACACAGTTTTAAATCTAGTTGATCTAAAATGGTAGTCCTGGCCTTTGCATAATAGAATCAGCTATCTGAAGACATTCTCAATTTACACAGGATAAATTGAACACATTATCAAGTAATTGAAACCCTGATTAAAAGATAAATCCCTCCCCTCAAATCTCAGCAGGCATCTTTCAGTTTGTAACCAGCTCCCATCTTTGGTCATTTGCATGTTGTCTTCTCTTCTACCACCCATCAATCAACACAAAGGTTTGTTTTTCTCCTTTGGCTAGTCTGTGAACAACCTCCTCATCTTCCTGGTAAAGCAGACTTCAACTTATTGAGGGAGAAATAGCTTACAAAATTTGTTGAGTACAAGATAAACCCTTATTGCTATCCTCATTCTTTCCTAGAATACTCTGGATCTTGCAAGGAGTCTGAACTTCCCTGGAATTACTCATAAAACTTAACTACATTTAGTTTTCACCTGGCTTGGGCTTTTTCTAATCTTCAAGTTCAGTACTCTATCTTGCCATATAGAAGTTTTGTTGTTATTAAATGTTGTTGAATCCATTCTCACTCATAGAGACCCTGTCTAGGGCTTCCGAGGAGTGGCTGGTGAGTCTGAACCACCAACCTTGTGGTTCAAACCGACCTTGCAGTCCAGTGCTTTATCCCACAGTGCCACACCGGTTCCAAATGCTTCCCATCCTTTCACAACAATAATAGGAAACATTTGGGGGCACTAACACGTTTCAAGAAAACTGCATAAGTAGAGGAAATATGGAGGAATCCTATCATATGGTAATGTGTTTTATCTATTTTTTAAAATTAAAGAATTCTTCACCAAGGTGCATGCCACCCTTGTACAGGGGCCATGCTAATCTCTGTATCCCTCCAATTTTAGTGCACATGCTGCTGAAAAGAACAGTCTTTCTTATCTTTTAGAATACTACTCGTTATTGTTTCAACAAAGTGTACACTATTGCTGCTTACTGAATGAGGAAGTTGCACCCTCGTACAATACTACTACTCTGAGTAGTCCATGGACTAGCGGCATCAACAGCACCTACTATTTTGTAAAAAAAAAAAAAAAAAATAAAAACAAACAAGGCTCAGAAAAACATTAAAAAAAAAAAGAAAAAAAAAAAAAAAAAAAATGCAAGTTTTCAGACTCCACCACAGACCTAATGGATCAGAATCTCAGGAGGGTCCAGCAGTCCAACACTCAAGGGTGTTTATTTTTGTCACCTCCTGGCCACCAGCACACAATCTTTGTCTTTCCATGAGTCTAGAGTCCTCAGCTGCTCTATTTCTCCATGCGTCCATCTCTGCTGTCACTGTTTCTCTGGATAGAGTCCACATTCCATTCATGGTCTTCTCCCTTGATGGTCCTAGAGTCTTATGTTTCTGGAATGTAAGATTAACTACTCTCCTCTTTTTGTTACAAAACTTCTACCTTTAAAATTGTGACAGTCGCAATTCGTCATGATAACAATTACTCACTATTGAATCATAAGAATCTTATCCCCATCTCTTTTCACCAGACCCATCTATACTATTCAGGGGGACTCTACCTTCCCCTGCACACTCGTAAACTAAACTCCTTCTTGAAAACTTGTAAGCTGGTCCCTTTGTGCCTTTATGTTGTTGTTATTGTTAGGTGCCATCGAGTTGGAACTGACTCATAGCGACTCTATGCACAACAGAACGAAACAATATACAATTCTGGGCCACATTTGAGTCCATCAATGCTGCCACCTGGCCAATCCATCTCATTGGGGGTCTTCCTCTTTTTCTCTGACCCTCTACCTTACCAAACATGATATCCTTCTCTAGCGACTGTTCACTCCTGACAATATGTCCGAAGTATGAGAGACGAAGTTTGGCCATCTTGGCCTCTAAGGAGCACTCTGGCTGCACTTCTTCCCAAACAGATCTATTGGTTCTTTTGGAAGCCCATGGCACTTTTAGTATTCTCCTCCAACACCATAATTCAAAGGCATCAATTCTTCTACGATCTTCCTTATTCACTGTCCAGCTTTCACATCCATATGACGTTATTAAAAATACCATGGCTTGGGTCAGGCGCACCTTAGTCTTCAAGCTGACATTTGGCGCTTCAACACTTTCAAAATTTGCTGTGCAGCAGATTTGCCTAATGCAATATGTCGTCTGATTTCTTGACTGATGCTTCCATGAGTGTTGATAGTTGATCCAAGAAGAATGAAGTCCTTGACAACTTCAATCTTTTCTCCGTTGATAAGAATGTTGTTTATTGGTCCAGTGGTGTGGATTTTTGTTTTCTTGACATTGAGATGTAATCCATACCTAAGGCTATGGTCTTTGATCTTCATCAGTAAATGTTTTAAGTCCTCTTCACTTTCAGCAAGCAAGGTTATATCATCTGCATTTTGCAGGTTGTTATGAGTCTTCCTCCAATCCCGATGCCACGTTTTTCTACATATAACCCAGCTTCTCGTATTATTTGCTCAGCATACAGGTTGAATAAGTATGGTGAAAGAATATAACCTTGTTGTACACCTTCCTTAATTTTAAAACATTCAGTGTTCCCACGCTCTGTTTGAACAACTGCTTCTTGGTCCAGGTACAGATTCCTCATGAGTACAATTAAGTGTTCTGGAATACTCATACTTCATAATGTTGTCCATAGCTTGTCATGATCCACACAATCGAAAGACTTTGAGTAGTCAATAAAGCATAGGTAAACATCTTTTTGATATTCTCTGCTTTCAGTCAAGATGCATCAGACATCAGCAATGATATCTCTCGTTCTATGGCCTCTTCTGAATCCAGCTTGAACCTCTGAAAGTTCTCTGTCAATGCATGATTGTAGCCATTTCTGTATTACCTTTACCAAAACTTTACTCGCTTGAGATATCAAAGAGATTGTCCGATGATTTCTGCATTCTGTTGGGTCACCTCTCTTTGGACTGGGCACAAATATGGATCTCTGCCAATCAGTTGGCCAGATAGTTGTCTTCCAAATTTCTTGGCAGCGATGAGTGAGTGCCTCCTGTGCCGCCTCACTTTCTTGAAAGATTTTAATTTTTATTCCATCAATTCCTGGTGCCTTGTTCCTTGCCAATTCCTTCAATGCACTTTGGACTTCCTCCCTGAGTATCATTGGCTCTTGATCATATGGTACCTCTTGAAATGTGCCTTTATAACCCACCTCATTTTAGGTAGCCAATGTTTAAGTTGCCCGTCCCTATCATCCCTGTATACAGAGGGGAAGAATTGATCCTTGATGTAGAGACTCGTTCTCGCTCACCTGGTATTTTGAGCTACTATATCCATAAGTATTGGTCAAGTCCATCAAATTGTATCAATTTACATTTGTTTCTTTTATAAAAAAATTGTTTGTTTGTTTGTTTTTTTCTTCTTCCTCTAGTCGAGTTCTGATCATCAAGCCATTGAAGCTAGATCAAATGGGTACTATTTACAAGTTTGGGCGTTTTTGTGCATCTCCCCTCACTTTATATCAGCTGGATACTTCACTCTCAGCTCTAGCCCTCTGTGGCTATGCCCTTGTCCATGGACTCAGGAGTCCCCAGGTTCACCACACTTTGGACCAGTCAGCCCTTTCTCTTCTCTCTCTCATCTCCAGGCTGAGAAGTCTATGGAATGTGGTTGAACTCAGCCCATTTCTTCATTGCTGCCTTTCCCCCTCTTCCACTCACCAGGAACTCAATGTGGTAGCCAGCAAGCTTACATGCCTACTTATGTGTTTCCTTTGAGTTTCAGTCTTGGAGCGGGGTTTGTCCTGAAGGGACTTGATTGCTTGCCTTGATGTCTCCCCACAGAACAACTTGCTTGTTCTTGTAGTAGCCAAACTGCCATTTTCGTTTTGGAGTTTTCCTGCTGGTCTTTCTTTCAAGAAGTATCTTCTGTTCCTCTAGCTGTTCCACGTTGGTCTGCTTGTCCTTTCAAGTGGGAATGTCCCAACTGAGAAGGTTCTGAGGATTCTACCTAAAGTCCTATACATGGCAAAGGTTCCACTGGAAGCCTATTTCACTGGGCAAGTTGAAGAACCCCTTTTAGGTATTCCAATCTGTTATACACTGAAGGCGGGCTTACAAGCTTTCAGTAACCATGCTTCCTGATATTCCTTTTTATTTCACTTAAGTGTCCCCAGGTTCACCACACTTTTCAGTAGTAGGCAAGAGAAACCAATATTCATAAGACAGTCAAGTATGTTAACATTATTTCCCCTCTTACCCATGCGGACTATGCCTCGACCCTGTATCACAGCACCCTGTTGTTTGAAGGATGAGCATGCATCACTATTTATCTCTGTCACATTTAGCCCATGCAAACCTGCCTTGGTGTTCCCTTATCTACCTTGTTTTTCCATCCTGCGTGAAAGCATTTAAAAACCTAGTCCCTACTCAACAAAGTAGAATGTAGAACACTGTCTTTATGAACGATGTTATAAAGTTGCATATCTTTGTAAATGTAGACTGCCGTGTCTTTCTTTTATGGAGTGGCTGGTGGATTTGAAACACGAATATTTGACTTAGCAGGCAAGTGCCTTAACCATTACACCACTTTGCTGTAGCTGTTATGTGCCCTCAAGTTGATTCCAATTCATAGCGACCCTGTATAGGATTTCTAGGAGCAGCTGATGGGTTTGAACTGCTGACCTTGCAGTTTGCAGTCCAGGGCTGACCCTACAGCAACACACAAGGAGTCCTATACCACTTTTGTTGTTGTTAAGTGCCGTTGAGTTGGTTCCGACCCATAGCGACCCTGTATAGGGTTTACTATACCACTGTTGTTGTTATGTGCTGTGGAGTCAGTTCTGACTCATAGCGACCCTGTACAGGGTTTCCGAGGCTATAAATCTTTACGGGAGCAGAACGCCTCATCTTTCTCCCATGGAACAGCTGGTAGTTTCGAACTGCTGACCTTGCGGTTCACAGCCCGATTCGTAACCACTACGCTACCAGAGCTCCTATACCACTAAGGCTCCTTAAATTATATATCAAATGCCTGGTATATAGCAGGTGCTCAGTGAACAGTGGTTCTTCCTTCTTCTCTGCACGCATCGTATTCCTACCACCAGCCAGAACCTTCTTACAGCTCTACCCAGATGTGCACTGCATCACAAGACTACCCTTCTGTCCTGTCTTTACCTCTCCATTCATGCCTGGGCAGGGGGCTCACTTCCTAAGGCGGCACTTTTGCTCTGTTACAGGTGCCGTTGCTTCCTGCCATTTTCAACAACTTGATTCTCCATTTTTCAGTTCAATACTGTGAGCTGTGTAAAACCTTTCTGATACTTGTATTTGGTGATAAATTAAGCAGAATCAGTTTCTGTTGTTTATAACCAAGAACCCAACTAGCACATGCCTCAAAGTTCATCCCTCCAGGTGGTGGTGGGGAGGGGTGCGGGATAGTAGTGGTGATACATATGAAAATGACACCTGACTGTCCAAATTCCTATCTTTCTGGACTGAAAATGGGATAAGGCAATCAAAAACTTAAATTACCTTTCAGTAAGGCCCACAGTACCTTTAATTTAGAAGAATTTAAATGTAAATTTGATACTGGAATTGTAAGGACCCCAAAGGCCAGTAATGGAATCTAATTGGAGGCGAGGATAGAGTTGTAGTGTGACATAGGTAACCCAGAGCCACCCATACTCACCGGTGGTGATTTCAGCGATGAGCTCAGCTGACTGGTGACAACCTTGGACTATGCTCCTTGTCCAGTGTGACAGGTCCCTGCTGATCTCTGCCCTGAAGAGATGTGTTTCAATCCCTTGTCTGGTACCAGTTCGGGTTGCAAAGGATAGATCCACACCAGCCTGGGGTGAGCCCTTCCCAGGACCTGAATGGACCAGTCTGGAATTAAAAAAAAAAAAAAAAGTGATAGAAAACAATCAAAATGGGAACTATTTTATCCATCTGGCGTATCACTTAGAAAATGAAAACATGGTGATTTGCTCTCGTTTTTCTGATCTGAAACTAACGGGTTTCATTTTATTGTTCTCTGCGGTTCCTCCTGCCAGTTCTTTTACCCAGCTCTTCCCTCAATTGTAGGTGTAGGATGAGATTAAGACAATGCCCAAATAACATGACTTTAAATTGTGCAAACTCAACTACTCAAAGGGCCAAAAGAAAAAGAAGAAATAAGTACATGAAAGAGAACAATTTAAACAGTGTATACACTCCTCCTACCACCCTGTCCTTGAGCGTAGATATGTCCCAGTGTGACAGAGACATTGTGCGCTATTGTTTTCTGGGCAGACTTAGTTCCCTTGTGTCTCTTCTAGCTAGAGCATCTGGTAGCATTGAATGTACTTCTAAGTACACATTTTTCATGTACACAGCCCCCAGATGCAAGCAAACTACCGGGGACTCAGTGGAAGAAGCAGCAATCTGTGTTAAAGTTTGAAAAAGAACTGGCAATGCTGGATTTTTGAGAAATACCAGCGAAGTGCACTCCATGGAAGATTTAAGAGAGTTTCAAGAGTAATTTTTAACTACACACGATTTTCACGCTGATTTTAAAACTTTTTCTCAGCATAAAATGTGACTCCCACAGTCAATGTTTCCTGAAGGAGAGACTTAAAAGATCAGGAATCAAAGTGTTCTGAGCACTGTCGTCTGAGCAGATATTGGCTCCAATTTCTTACCTGTCCTGGTTAACACTCGGATTTCTCATGTTCTCACCTACTCTTCACTAACTCAAACTCTTTTAGAGATAGATTCTCACATCAATACTTTGCAGGGTAGCATAAGTATAATTTAGTAAATGTTACTTTTCTCCAGGCGATTTGATTTTGCAGGCTTATCTTTTCATACAGAAAGACACACTTCAGCACTTGTAAGAGGAACACCAGGTGTCTATCCATCTGGTGGGTTGAGAGTTAATAAGCAAAGGGCTTGTTACCCTCTAGATTAAAAATGACACAAAAGAAATTCAATGGCTTATTTTCTCATGGAAATGTAAATATTGTAAGCCAAAGTGATCAGTGCAACAAAATATATTATAGAGGCCTGTTAATTTTCTAGCAACAAGTTTGCTGTATAACTCGAGAGAGCTTTCTTTTACTTGTTAAGCACCATTGGGATGGAGGGATGGTGCACTGGACCACAAGGTTGGTTTGAGCCACAAGTTAGGAAGTTCAGACTCACCAGCCACTCCTCGGGAACCCTGTACAGGGTTGCTGTGAGTCAGAACCAACTCAATGGCACTTAACAACAACAGGAACAACACGCACCATCAAGTCAGCTCCTACTCAGCGACCCTATGCACAACAGAACGAAACACTGCCAGATCCTACACCATTCACACAATTGTTGTTATGTTTGAGCCCAGTGTTGTTGCCACTGTGTCAATCCATCTCATTGGAGGTCTTCTCCTATTTCACTGACTATCTAGTTTACCAGGTACGATGCTCTTCTCCTGGGACTGCTCCCTTCTGATAACATGACCAAAGAACATGAGATGAGATCTCACTCTTCTAACTTCCAAGAAGCACTTCTTCCAAGACAGATTTGTTTGTTCTTCTGGGAGTCCATGATACTTTCAAATTCCTCTTACTTACAAAGTTGAAATTTGAAAGGACAATGATTGACAATGCCAACTTCAAGAAAAAGGTTGGTTGAAAAGTCTTTTGCTCATAAAATTCTTAAAAAGTAGGGAAGTGATGTGCCCTGTAAACTTTCACTCAATCCAAAATAAAAACATTTAATAATAATAATAAAAAAAAGTAGGAAAGTGTCATGAATCTTTTTGAGAGAAGAATTGAGAAAAGTATGAGGGGAAATGTCTGCTGACATGGGAGTCCCACACAGGGATTTGAAATGTTCAGAGTGAGCCAATCACTCAAGAGGAAGAGTTGAACCTTTTGTAATGAGACGTTAGCAGGGGTTACCAGTGAAGCTATTAGAGATTTCAAGATTAAAGTGAGGCTAAAGAAAACCCAAAGCACTTCTCAAAAGCCAAATGCAGGCTTAGGGGTTGTAGGGTCAGGTAAAATTTTATGAAAAAAAGTGTCTACAGAAATCAAGAATTTATATTGCCCTTTCAGGATTCCTCAAAAGTGTTTTATACTCAAAGTGTCAGTGTGTTTTTTGTAAAGTTTCTGTTGCTTTTAGAAATATATCCAACTCTGTCTTTTAAAAATCTAAAGATCTGTACCAGCTGAACACAGAGGGGAGCAGCATGGGAAAGCAAAAAAGAGACATAAGTTTTAGAAGAATGAAAACTTGCATTATTACCCCATTCTGTCATTTCTTTAAATTTTCTAAGAGTTGCTACCTCAAAACACGGTGTTGTGAAGATTATATGAAATAAACTGTATAGTGTACCTAGCAATGATCCTAATATGGTTTATGTTCCTAAAACATTATTTTCATCCCTTATCATCCCTGCCCTCAGTTTTCTAATTTTTAAAATATAATTCCTATTTCATAGGATGGTACCCTGATGTGTTGTTGTAGGATAAGTAAGCACTGGACTGCTAACCACAAGGTCAGCAGTTCAAACCCACCAGCTGCTCCTTCAAAACCCTATAGAGGTTCACTGTGTGTTGGAACCTAATAGTTGGCACAGAACAATAATGAGTTAGAACCCAATAGATGGCACACAACAATAACTTCATAGAATTAGGATTAAATATAACAAAATTCAATTAAATATAACAAAATACAGTTTCTGTAGTCATTATTATGTTCACTGGTGTAGCGTAGCGCGGTAGAATAAAGCACTGGACTGCAAGGTCAGTTTGAACCACAAGGTCGGTGATTCAAACTCACCAGTTTCTCCTTGGAAAGCCCATACAATGTCGCTATGAGTTGGAACCAATTCCACAACACTTAACAAAGACAACAACAATACATGAAAGGAAAGGAGCTCACCGGTTTCTGTACTTTGGAGGCTCTAGATGAAGAGCTAATGTACTTGCTGCTAACTGAAAGACTGAAGGTTCAAATTCACCCAGAAGCACCTTGGAATAAAAAGCCTGGTGCTCTGCTTCTAAAAGGTCAGCCATTGAAAGTCCTATGGAGCACAGTTCTACTCAGACACACATTGAGTCAGAGTAATTCAAGGACAAGCGGTATTTTTGGTATATAATAAAATAAAGGACTTAGTCGAGTATCGAACACACCAATGAATACTGACGCCCTCTATGAATTAACCTGTTCTCACTTTTCATCCCTAAATATCCACTCAACAATTCTGTCACATTCCGGCGGCAGTGGGAAGACAAGATAGACCACCAGGATGGAGAATGTTGGGTTTTCGGTGTGAATTTCCAGCCTTTATTTATTTTACTCTAGAGAGATGAAACAATTTAAACTAATAATAACTAGAAAATCCATTTTGTTAGAAAATTCTCATTTGGTAGCTCAGAGCATGAGGAATACAATTACTAACAGAAAATAACTTGGTCTGAGCAAGCCATGTATCAAGATGACCAGTGACACACATCGGGAGCACTGATGGGAAACTTCAGAGTGTCACAGGAAGTAATGATGAAAAAGCCTCTGGTGGAAGAATGGTCAGTGTACTTTATAAGTCTCATCACTAAACTTTCATTGATGGGCGGGGGGGAAGAGAGAGAGAGAGAGAGAGAGAAATGGATTTCTCAACTAAGTGTGAATTATCTAGCATTTATAGAAAAGAACAAGTTGATTTACTATCGGATAATTAGCAGACACTATGATGTATGTGTTCTTTTAAAGATGCCAACAGTGGAGTCCTGGTGTGGTACTGCAGGTTAATGCGCTGGACTGCAAAGTCGGTTTGAACTGCAAGGTGGGTGGTTCAAGCTCACCATCCACTCCTCAGAAACCCTACACAGGGTCACTATGGGTCAGAACTGATTCAATGGCACTTAACAACAACATTGGTTTAATAAAACCTACAATACTATATGTAAATAATAAGATAAAGCCAAATTGTCTTTTCCACTACCCACTGAGTGTATCCCACCACCCATCTGTCAGTTTGTCATAATGTCGTAGTATATCTTGTGAGTTGCAGAGGTGCTGGAAGATATGCCACCAGTATTTCAGATACCAGCAGGGTGACTCATGGCGGACAGGTTTCCATGGAGTTTCCAGACTACGGCAGATTAAGGAGAAAGATTTGACAATCTACTTCAGAAAATTAGTCAGTGAAAACCTTATGGATTGTAACTGAATATTTCCCTGTGTTAGAAAATAAGCACATAGGTTGGAAGGAACTCAAGAGTGGGACTTAAACATACCACCCATCATAAAGATGGTTCAGAACTGGGCAAAACTGCATTCACTATACATAAGGTTATCATGAGTTGGAGCTAACATAGCAGCAACTTAGAACAACAAATGTGTTTACTAAAAGCAAAATAATATATTTTCCGAATTAAAACAAGGGAACTACGGCAGATACCACATGATGCATGTGGGTGTACGTCCTCTCAATGGAGTAGTAGAAGATCTTAAAAAACATTTTATAACACTCTGCGGAAGTGTGGGGAATGTGTATATATATATAGTAGTGGTGTGGCTCTCTAGGTTAATGTGCTGGACTGCAAAGTTAGTTTGAACTGCAAGGTCGGTGGTTCAAGCGCCTCAGAAATCCTCTACAAGGTTGCTGTGGGTTGGAACCAACTTGATGGCACTTAACAACAACATATATATGGGGGCTTCAAAAAGTTTGTGACAAAACTCCATTATCTTTCAATTCCATTTTCCACAAACTTGTTGAAGCACCCCCATAAGCATACATTAATGCCTGTAAAAAGCTGGAATCAGCATAAGGCAGAAGGAAAACTAAAATATTTTCCACTAATAGAGAATGAGGAGTCCCGGTGTGGTGCTGTAGGTTAATGTGTTGAGTTACAAGG